TCATTAGAGAGCTTATGTTTATAGCAGGAGAGCTAAACCTATTGCTGTGTCTTTGAAACATAAAAACAAAGAAGAAAGGAAAGCAAATGATGCACCTTGTGGTGCCTCAAGGGATGGTTTTGTAATCCTGCTGAGCCTAATTTAGGAAGATGTTGTGCTTGTGTTGAGTCCTCAAAGATTTCAGCAAAGAGGCTACTCACGTTCAGTTCGGTAAGTTTGTGTCAGTGCTGTGGAGCCCTGGTACAACAACGTGTGATTCGATTCCAGCCAGCTCAGCCACACAAATCAGCAACCAGCCCCTGCTGCTCTTCATGGAGGGGCACTCCTGTGGCCGAGCTGGGCTTGGTGAACAGTACTGGCAGGTTTCAATTACAAGGAGAACAGTTTAATGGAGACAGATTTAAAACATGGAGCTTCGTCGGTATGGGGAAAGAAAGAAGCGTTGAGAGCTGCTGTGATTTCAGCTTCTTCAGTAACTCTTGTTTACAAATGAGAAGACATAGAAGAATACAGCCTCAGGTAATAGTGGGAGCAATTTGTTATTGTTGTCTGATGTACAAATTATGCCTTTGGTTTATGACATACCTGTTGTGAGCAATGGAAAATAACTGTTCGAACACAGTTAGATGGTGCCATCCACCAGCAGTCCCATATGATATTTTAATTGGATGAATAAGGATTTAAATTTTTTTTGGAGCTGTGGAATGAAAATTGACAAATTTTACAAAACTTACAGTTTTAAATTAAAACATTGATGTTATTAATGCTGCAAAGTTAAGAACTGTTCAACTTTTTAAGTTAGAGGAGTATCTTATAGGTTTCTGCATAAATGGTGAGCAAATAATTAATTTGTAGAATCCCAGAGAACCTAGAGGTCTGCAAAACATCTCAGATTGATCTCTAGGTTTACATGAGAGGCTTTGTGGTTTAGCAAAAATATACGTATTTTGTAGACAAATGGTGTATTCTCTATTTTGGAGAAAAAAGATGCTCTGTTGAAATGCCAGTGAGCTGTATGAATCTGAAATGAAAAGTTCTGCCTTTTAAAAAATACCCATTTCTAAGATTAAACCTAATATTTGTTCGTTTAGTTTAAACTGGCCTTCTACAGGAAAATCAGTCTGATGGGTCATTCACTGAGGTACTACTAACTTTATACTCGTGTAACCCCTCCCAAGTAATAAAGTTTGGAATGATGTCCCAGGTTTTCCTCCCCAGGTGGCACTATTTAGGAAGTATATCTGAATGCATAGGTGAATGCCTGATGTCAGTAGGATTTGGGAAGGTATTTAGTAAGTGTAGTTATGAACTATACAAAGGCTGAGATGCCTTGATTATTCTGGACTAGCCTCTCCAGCTTCCATGTGTGGTCCTCACAGAAGTGACAGAGGTGTTTCCTAATTTTGACCTGCAGATGGTAGAAATAGCTGGAGTTCTTTCCTGAAAGGAGGATCTTTCAAGGCTTTCAGGGCTTGGTAGGAAAATTGAAAGTTCTTTCCCACCATTAGGATGGTCTTATTTGACTATGAACTTTTTTTTTGCCCCCTATGATTTTTCAGCATATCTAGAGCTACGTTTCATCTCTGCACCCCACTCAGCTGAAATGAGTTTATCTGGTCCCTGTCCAATTCCTGCTTCTTATGTGATTCCTCTTCGGTCTGTGAGTCCAGGAGTGACCATATTTTCTGTTCTTGGAATATTCCTAGGAACAGATGGATGCTTTAGAAAAACCTGTTTGAACACTGATTTCTAGGCTGTCCTTTGTTTTCCCTCTTTCCTAGAACGATGGTCCTGGTGGCTTCATGCAGATAAACAGTTGTTTGGAAAATCCCCATGTACCCGAATTTTATTTGAATTCAGTGGTGGACCCTTCCTCAGACGTTAGGAATTATCACCTAGTGTTATGGTAACTACATCCTTAGCTACACAATGCCTTAATTTCCTCCTATGTAAATCTGCATTCATGATTCTTATCTAGCTTTTCAGCTCTTTTGGAATTGAACAGTGTTATTAATTTGTTTTTCTTGTTTGCTAGGAGAAAGAGCACATCACATAATAGGAATTTTTAATAAACTTCCTAGCCAACTTCCTAGAAAATAATTTAAATGTTAGAAACTTAACTTCATCATGTCATGGCCATTTGTACTCTTCTGTGGAAGACACGTTATAAAGGAGTCAGAAACTGTGCAACTGGCTTCTCTCTTTCCAGCAGATTTTGGAAGCTGTTTACCTTGAACATTAGGGTAAGATGGAATGAATCCTTTTCCCACTCCAGAATGCCTGCTTCTTTGCAGGGGAAGTTCATTAATTTGCTTTACCTCTAATGCTATTATACTTCACAGACGTGTTGCAAAACTTAAGAAATGTGTAGTTAAGGTTTCGTCCACATGAGGATCACAGCTAGTCCTTGAGGAATTTATCTACCATTGCACTTCACTCCTTTAGAATCATAGGATGGTTTGGGTTGGAAGGGACCTTTAAAAGTCATCTAGTCCAACCCCCCTGCAGTGAGCAGGGACATCTTCACAGAGATCAGATTGCTCAGAGCCTGCTCCAGCCTGACCTTGAATGTTTCTACCACCACTCTGGGCAACCTGTTCTAGTGTTTCACTACCCTCACAGTAAAAAATGTCTTCCTTTTATCTAGACTAAATTTTAATTAAAATTAGTCTAAGTCTAATTAGAGTAGTCTAAATGTAAATTAGTATAGTCTAATTAATCTAGTCTAAATGAAGTTTAATTAGTCTAGTCTAAATTTTTAATTAGGTATATTTCAGAAATTGGTATTATTTTAATAATGAGTTCAAGACTAGCTTCAGACTTAACAAAAGTGTTTTGTAATTTATAGCTGAACCACTTTATGCACTATTTTCACTTCCGTGTATCATGACTGAAACTTGGTAGCAATCTTGGCAGGTTTCTCTTGCTTTGAAAGTATTGTTGAAGAATGTAGGAGAAGACTTTACACCGTTTCTTGTTTTTTCAAAAATTAGTTGGTCCTTTTCAGTTATGAGAAAAGAATCATCCAAAAAATTATTTTATTCCTGCATGACTTGGCACAGCAAATTTGAATATTTTTACAGGAGTGTCATAAAATAAAATGAGGATAATGAAAAGCATTCTAAGTAACAGAAATAGACCAGAGAAAATACAGTAGAGGGCATTCTTCTTAATGGGGGCAGCTGAATGCATGACCAGATCTTTCCTTCACTCCTTTCTGAGTAAGCTATCCTGAGAAGGTTAGTAGTTTCTCAACAAAAAAAGTCAAAAGCTGAGGTGGAAAGATACAGCCTAGAGGGTTGTGGAACTACATAAAACTGTAGTAGAGATCTTCTAATGAAAAGAGTGGCTGAGCTACAAACAAACCAGAGGAAATGCAGCGTGCAGCTTTCTGTCACGTGCCCCACCTCATATCCCTGGCATGACTGGTAGAAACTAAAATCCTGAGTGTGCTACAAGCAAGTGCCAGTAGTGATCACAGTCATTCCCCATCTGTGCAGTACATCAATGTGATATCAACAGTGCACTGCACTGATAATCTCCAGCATCACAAATCTGTATTTTCACAGTTAGAATGTGCCACACACTACATTGCCTTCATCCCCTCTTGTGAAGCTTGCTGAAATGACTCAGAAGTGTTTGATACACTTGTGGGAGAGAAGCACTGGAGTGTAACTAGCTGTTCATGTTCACAAATGCCTCTTAACCTGTGTATACTTGTGTGGCAGTGAGTTATATACACTTAAGGCATGTTTGTGCTGTTTAATTTGTATTTCAGCACAGGGCATCTCCATGAATTCCCAGGGCTGAAGCTGCCCTGATTGTATGACAGCCTATGTGGTTATTTGGCTAGGAATGAGAAGTTTCTTTTGTATGTGAGAAGTAATACTGGGGAGGATGTGCTGACTGAAGAGTTGCCAAGCTTGGAAGAATGGAAAAGGAGGAGTGACAGAAATGCGAGTTGTGCCTTTTAGGATGGTGCATCTCAGCAATTATATTAGGCAAGAGTATTGTGTGGGCCACCATGAATGAGAAAGGACAGCTGCTTGTCCTTTGACCACACTGTGAAAAGTGGTGCTTATTCCCAGAGCATCAATAAAAGTGGTCACCTTCTAGAGTTTCTGTGGGTGAGCATGTATTTCTCCTTTGAAAGCCTTAAGTTTCTGAGTGAAAGTAGAACTGTCGACAGATTTAAGACCAGTAGGGAACATTCCATTCCTTGGCTGTGTGAAGGAAAAGAGCATGTTGTATTTTCAGGTTGAGATATTCCCCTAAGATGGTGGGGGAGTAGGGACATCTCCACCAGTGCTCCATCATACATACACAACACCCAAAAGAGGAGAAGATGGGATAGCAGCTGAGCTCTGTCTCACTATCTACACCAAAATGAAAGCCTCTTTATGTCACAGGGCACAGCAGCTTTGCACTGATGCCAACGAGAACCACAGAGCAAGATGCCACCTCAGTAAATAACACGATGTCCAATGAGAAATCAACCCTTGAGGAATTAATTTATTTTCATTTTCCAGGCTGGCAATCTTGGCGAATAGATTTTTCTCACTGTATAGCAAGGTCAGTGTGACAAATTTTGAAAAAATGGAAGTTCAAGTGGTTTTTTTTGGTTTCACAAGCACATGAGCTCAGTGAGAAAGAACAGACTGAGACAGCAAGGAGAACAGCCAATCCTGTTATATTTGTCTTTCTTATTACTGACTTGCCATGATAAATATGGAAAATTATATTTGGCTAGAAGGAGGCTGAGAAAGGGAACAGATGGCCACCAAAAGAATACTAGAGCAGCTAATAGTCACTGGCATATTTCCGGGATAAAAATTTAAATCTGAAACCAAGCAGAAGCGTTATTCATTTTTTTTCTGATCAGAGCAGTGTGTATGAAACTGCTCCTGCTATGCTCTGACTAGATGAAGGTGGGCTTCCTGAAATGCATTCTCTGAATGGAATAAACAACCTCTACCCTGCAGTAAACGGCTCTTGCAGTTATGCTGACAGAAATAGTTGACAAGGTGGGGAAAATGTTTATGTTCCTACTGTATTTTGAGTGAATGAGGGTGCATTTGCCATGGCTTTTTAAGATATTGCATGATTTAGCACCTACATTGCATTCTCTCTATGTATTCTACAGGCTTTATTCAGTTTTGAGAACGGAGAGAAGAAAGTGTCTATTTAAATGAGGAGACAATGGAGTCTATATTTTATATAGCTGTGTATTTAATAATTTCTCAAATTTTAATGCATTTCTGATTTCTCTAGTCAACTGGGTGCTGAAAAAAAATAAGCTGACATTTTGGAAACTGTGAAAATGTGTCACTATTTCTGATTCTGGAGAATGCTGTATGCTCAGTACCTAAAACTCCTTATGACTGCAGACTAGGTAGCGAATGAAGACATTCTGTTTCTTGAGTGATAATTGGAATTAATAAGGTAAGGCATGACTTGAAGGCCTGGAATAACAGGAGATGATAGTCTGGGATTGAAGTGCAACATTGGAGCTGTAGGACAGGCTGAGTGCTCTAGGAGTAGGACAGCCAGGGGTGAAATGGAGTGGAATTGTAACAGTTGCTGCAGTTTTTCTTTAAAGTGTGTCTGCCAGAATGAAACCAGTCACAGCAGCTCGGCTGTAGATCCCATACTAGGTATACAAGATTTTGCCAGGGCAGCAGCAGCTGATGGGTCATCTGGGTCAAGACCGTCATAAAAGTCACTGAGTGGACTAACTGATCAACCATTGACCTCCTCCCCACTCAGCTGCCAGCAGGAGTGTTGCAGACATAGATCACGTTATCCATTAATAAAAGATTATGTGATTTATTTGCTTAGAGGAATGTTGTGAGGGTTGATCAGTACTGATTTTAAGGTGTTTTGAAGAAATTGCCCAAAGAGTGCTGAAGAACTATAAACACTCAATAAGTAGGTTTTGAGAAAGAGAGACAAGGAGAATAATAAATTTCTGTGATTAAAAAAAGGCACAGCCTCAGGCCAATGGATTGATTTTGCTTTTGGAGTGTATAAGGAGAAAGGTCCATTTCAAAATCCTGCTAATCTTTCCCCAGTAATGGAAATTACATGGATTCCAAATTCCGGCAGCACATCTTGGAGCTCACTCACCTGGCTGAGTTTTAAAGACATTTTGTGAATTTTTCATGCTCTAGTTGTGAATACTTTAGAAATTTCTGTTTAGTAATATCGGCATCACTGCATAGCCTTTTAAAAGTATTGCTAAGAAATAAAATGCTGTTTTGGAGTCAAGACCCTGCAGTCCATACAGGTATGTGAAGTCCACTGTTTCTTCAGTTTTCAATGATAGCTGTTTCTCTGTAAAATCCTGTCTTTATATTGACTTGTAGTTAGAAAAGCACAAAGTGGTTAAGAAACTGTCTTTAAATGGACTGTAATGTTTTCATCAGCTCCAGAAACTGAAAAATGAAGCTAGCTGGGAGTGGAAAAAGTATGACACACTCTAAAATAAGCAGTCTTATTAAAAGCTGGGTTGATATATCTAGTAGAGTTATGAGTGTGGATCCCAGACTCTCTTTCATATCAAATGTGATTCTCTCTTGAAATGCAGGACCTGTAGTTTTCATGTGAAGTCTTTGACTGTAAAAATACTGTGACACTGGGTTTTCCCATAGATCATCTGTGCAAATTCACACTGAAGGATAGTGATCACAAGGATGTTTAGTGCACTGGGCAAAGTACATCAAGCTCTTTATATGTAGGATACAGTAATCCAGTGATTCACTTCTGGGGACATTTGCTGTGGTGGCTCTGGGGATATTTGGGATTTACAGCACATAATCCGTTATCCTTGGCCAGCTGATCTCCAGTTCCAAAGATGGGAATTGCTGTATCCTTCAGAAAAAGGTCTTAGTACCTTTCCTTTTCCTAATATTCTCCTCTATTCCACAGAGATCTGTGACCTTTCCTGTCAAACTGAACCAAATTAATATAATAAGGCTAAATCCAGAGCTGCTGTTCTTGGCTTGTTCTGAATCTGCTTTCCCCTTTAAGCTTGCATAAGGACTTATTTATCTGTGGGGTTTTTCTCCCGAATTTTCAAATGAAAAGAAAGAGAAAACACCTGCCATGGATACTGACAGCATAGTTGTCCAAGAGCAGTTTCTATCTGGTCTGCCCAGCTTTAGAGGCATCTTCATGGTTGTTGGTGAAGCAGTTGAACCTGCATGTCAAAGGGCAGCATTTCCTTCATGTGATCAGGTAGATTTGTACATAGAGTTTCCTCTCCATATTTAATTTGGAAGTGTCTTCTAGAGGTCTCTAATCTCATCTCACCTCTGAGGATGGAGATCCCACAGCCTCTCTGAGCACCTATTTCATACTTGCCAAGCAGGATGTGTCAGAGCCATTGTACATGTGTCTTCACCTTACTCTGCACCTTTGTGGCAATGCTGATGTGCCCTGGATACAATGATGTGCCTGGATCAGGATGTAGAAAAGCATCCCTCACTCACTGCAGCTCCTGTATATACCTGCAGTGTACTGGCACAGATGCAGCAGCCTAACCCAGGTTGTGTCTTCTTCTGTCAAGCTGAGAGGCCCTTTCAGCACAGCTAGGCTGCCTCATGGACAGAGGTTTTATGGCACTAGCCAGTACAAAACACATTAAGCATACCCCTCTCATATGCATATTTTCATGTGGACTAATTGAAGTCTATGGCAAAGGCCTTTAACAAGTGATCCCCTGGCACTGACACTGGCACTGGATAGGCTCAAAGTCATTGCAAAGAGCAAAGACTTTATCACCTGCAGGTGCTCTGCCCATTTAAGACTGTTGGACAGGCACAGAAGCTCTGCAGAGCATCAGAAGAATACCATGCTGCTTTAAGTATTTTTAATCTGCATCTCACTTCCATAAGATAATTTTGACTGTAAATTTGTATTTTGAAACCCTATGTTAAAGTTCAACACTCCAAGTTTCCCTGTTTCTAGAAAAATATTGCTGTTGTATGGCTTCAGAACTTCTATAGTGGAACTGATGCATATGCTTGGATAAAGATAACTTTTTTGAGTCTGAATGGATCAACATTGTATCTCAGAGCTCATGGACACGGGAGCACTTTAGAGCAAACCCAGTGGGATACACTCCAGCCCACAGAGCAGAGCTCTGGACTGTTTTAGCCACAGAGTTCTCAGTATCTAATTTATCCTAAAGATTTCTGCAACTCACTGTGATAACAACTGTTATTAGCCAGAAATGGACAGTGCTACATATCATGTTTATCATCACAAAAATCCTGCTGCAAGCACCAGCAAAATCTTACAAATTACAATCTGCTTAACACTTTCCCCACGTTTCTTTTTTTTTTTTTGTATTTGTGGCTAGTATTATCTGTCCTTTGGAGCAAATGGATTTTTTTTTCCTGCATCTAAGTAAATTTAAACATTGATTTGTGTTTCTATAAAATCTGTATCACAAATTGAACCAGTTTAATGCTGCTGTTAACAATGGGTGGGCTCACAATCTACCTTATGAGGCAGGTTGAATCTGTCCTTCCAAGCAGGCTTGCTATTGGCTTTTGAGCACATATTTAGAAATGGCAAAGCCCCCCCCCTTCCCCTCCACTGACCACATGGGCATATCAAGCATGCTGAGAGGCATAATAGGCAAAACAAGCTGTCTCTGCACCTGCCCACAAAACAGCTGGCCAACTGGGAGAGGAATTGCTCAAGCATAGCACATTTTCAGCAGCTTTTGTGATCCTCTCTCATACGCTCTGCTGGCACAGACGTTGCCACAAAGGAAAGAAACATAGAAACCATAGAGATTCCAGGATTATTTTTTTTTCCCCACAGAATTATTTTTAGTAAAGCATCATTTCATCTTTTCAGTCTTCCCATGTGGATGCATTTTCTCAGTCTCAGCTGAGTGTTCAAGAGAGAGATCATCTGGGATCTAACAGATTCTTCCACCAGGTATGTGACTCTACAGCTGACTTAAAAAATATCTGAATGATTGTTTTCTAAGAGACCCCTTATAATTAATCTGAGCAGAGGGAAGTCCTTTATTCTCGGCCCCCTTCCATTTCCCCTCTAGGTGTATGAGTGTCCCAAGTATCTGTGTGTATTTTGTTTTCATTCAGTAACATCTGAGGCACTTCTGCCTAGCCACTTTTGTTTATTGAAGCTTTCATGAAAAGTCCACTGGAATCTCAGTTCTAAGGTTTTAAAGACTTTTCCATAGTGTATTGGAAAAGGAAACATTTTCATTCAAGTTGTTTGGGTTGAAAGCTTTGTTTCTTTGCTTTTTGAGAAAATAGCAGGACCTCTCCTTTGTTGTCAAAAGCTTGACAGATGTATTTCTTTCCTTCCTCAATGACAAAAAAATCACGGGCTGTATTGGTCGTAGGCTTAACTCTCTGGACCTTGTTCTGCATTTGATAATGCACAGTTGATCTATTTCAGATAAGTTTTTACTATTATCTGCCAAATAGCCTACTTCAAAAATTTTCTTTGCTGCTAAGAGTGTAATTTTCTCTCACTTTAGATATCCAAAAAGAAAGGTCCTAACATTCATAAAACCACATCCTTAAATAACTGACTTTACAGAATGAGTGGGATAGAAATGTCTTACAAATAACAAACAGGAGAAGTTAAGGAATCGTAGAATGGTTTAGGTTGAAGAAAACCTTTAAGATCATCAAGTCCAACCACTAACCTAACTCCCCTGCTAAACCATGTCCCTAAGCACCATATCTACATGACCTTTGAACATGTCGAGGGATAGTGATTCAACCACATCCCTGGGCAGCCTGTTCCAGGGCTTGACAACACTTTAAGTGAAGAAATTTTTCCTAATATCCAACCTAAAGCTCCCCTGGTGCAACTTGAGGCCATTTCCTCTTGTCCAATGGCTTGTCACTTCTGAGAAGAAACCAGCACCTGCCTCTCTACAACCTCCTTCCAGGCAGCTGTAGAGAGCAATAAGGTCTCCCCTGAGCCTCCTTTTCTTCAGACTAAACAGAGTTCCTTCAACCACCCCTCATAAAACTTGTGCTCTACACCCTTCACCAGCCTAGTTCCCTCCTCTGGAGCCACTCCAGCACCTCAGTGTCTGTCTTGTATTGAGATGCCCAAAACTGAACACAATATTTGAGGTGTGGCCTCACCAGAACAGTGGGACAATCACTTCCCTACTCCTGCTGGCCACACTATTTTCAACACAGGCCTTCTTGGCTACCTGGGCACACTGCTGGCTCATACATCGGTTGTCTATCAGTACCCCTGGGTCTCTTTCTGCTGGGCAGCTTTCCAGCCACTCTTGCCCAAGCCTGGAGTGTTGCATGGGGTTATTGTGGCCCAAGTGCAGGACCCAAAGGAAGGACTAATAATCCTGGAGTTCTCAAAGGACTATAAGCATTTATTTTTCAGTAAAGTTTGCATAGGACTTACAGTTTCCTCACTCAGAAGGAGTCCAACAAAGGGGCCTAGTCAAAGTGAACTCCATGGGAAATGAGGGAGAAGGAAATACTGAGGAAGCAGTGTGGGGAACACCCTCTCACTGTCTCCACCCACGCTGTTTGGCAGCAGTCCAGCCCAAATTTCTTGTCTGCCACTGGGAATAAGTAATAATGTTGCCTGCTATTTACAACTCATGTCTGCTCGTTACTCTAGATACACTTTATTTTCCCCGCTCGGAGGAGTCCTGCTGCCTGGACTGGCTGTTCATTTTCCAGCCCCAACCACCTTCTCCAGCTGAAGGAGTCACCGCTCTGATACTGAATGGAGGTGTTCTTGTAGAGAAACTTTCATGCCATAAAATGTGCCAGGCTGCCCGATTGGCTGGACAAACCCCTGCCAGAATCCCTGGGAGCTGCCGGAGAGTATCTGCTCTTTTCCCCTTCGCCATTGGGTGTCAGAAGTGAACCACACCATTTTCCAAGCTTCTAAGTCTCTCTGGCTTTCGAAGGACTTACACAGAATTGCTTGCTACGTCGTTATGTAATACTTACTTCTGCTTTCTGTTTAGAAACTCAGTCGTGGTGTTCTTCCCCTCCCACATCTGGAAGGTCAAGCAAGGCATGCTTTGGTGGCAGACACTACAAAGCCTCTCCCCCTTGAAAGCAGCCTGCCTCAGATAACCACTAATGGCTTGCAGAGTGCCCTTCCCTCTTTTCAGGTGCGTTGTAAAGCTCTTACACATCTTGTGTTTACCGAGTTCATCAGCTTTTCTCAAAGTGCTGCTAAGAGAGTGTCACTGGCAAAGTGTCACAAGTCTGTTTGTGTGTGGGAAGAAAGAAGTAATTTAGCATCAGCATTTGCATCAGTTTCTGTTTTGAGCTATAGTTAAAGAGTAAAAAAAAAATAAATAAAAAAAATAAACAGCTATAGTTAAAGAGTAAAAAAAAATAAAAAAATAAAATGAACTATAAACAGTCAAACAGACAGATTACTTACCAGCATCCTTGTGTGTATCTCCAGATATTTTAACAGACACCCAACATCACAGGAAGTTTTTCAAGTCATCTTCACTTCTGCCATTCCTTCTTTCTCATTTTTTTACAAATCCTGGCTCCATCATCTCTCTGTGCTCTTCTTCCTTTGCTGCTTCTCTCCCCAACAAATCAGGGACCTGAGCTACTCACCACCATTACTCTGATCATTCTCTCTCTCAGCTTTCTTATTCTGCAAGGGAGTCTCTTTGTTGAGAGGTTTGACAGGTTTTACAGGACTCTGATATGAAGTCTTTTCAGATGTCTCACACTGAAGTCTCCACATAGGACATGTGTTTGGGAAGTCAAGAGTCTTCTCGAATGCTTTGTGAAATTGACGTCTTGCTACTACTAAAAATGATTTAATTTGGTTAGGGGGTGTGTATCATTTACCCCTTAAAAGGCATTTGTAGACTTATATAAGAAGCTGTGTAAATACCAGTAAGAAAATCAAGCATTTTCAAACTAGAACGTATGATTCTGTGTTGTTTTGGAGACCTTCTTTGTTTACCCTTCTGTACAAATAACACATTATTGCTGAATTGAAGGAGTGTGTACTGGAATAGGAAGAGTGGAGTTCTCTAGCTGGGGCTCAGGATGATAGAAGTAGGACTGATACGTGTCTGCACAGACCTGTACTTGAGCTGGTCAAGTGGTGCCCCTCATACCTGGTTACCCTGCTTTTGTAGCAGTTAATATTGAAAAATAATGTAGCAAGGTTAGAGACAAATACAGAAAGATGATTTGATTTTAAAACAAACTCGACTTCACTTGTCCTAGCACATTCTTAACCCAAAACTCACAAGCACCAAGATGCATGTATCCAAGTGATACTAGCCAGGACTACTTGCAAGAACTTGGTGGGCTAGGATTGTCCACTGGTTAGTCCATATCACATTGCCTGGGTTTTTCTTGTCTTGTCAGCCATGTGCTCGTTATTGAATATGGCTTTTGTACCCTTCTGACACTGAGAGAGACTGATCTTTTGTGTCTCCCTCCAGTTGCACTTCTGTGACTCATCAGAAAATATAGAAATTCTAAATAAGTTAGGTTGGAAGGGACCTCTGGAAGGCATCCAGCCCAACCTCCTACTGCAAGCAGAGCAAACTTGGGGCTGGTTGCTCAGGGCCTCGTTCAACTGGATTCTGTAATCTTAAAGGTTGGCGAGTCCACAGCTTAGGGCAACCTGTTGTAATAGTGAACCACTCTCATGGTAAAAAAATGTTTCTCAGCATTTCCTATGTTTCAGCTTGTGTCCATTAGCCACACACTCATCTTGTCCTAGAACCATGCACCTCTGAGGGGAGTCTGGTTTTGTTTCTCCGTACTTTCCTGTCAAGTAACTGGACAGCAGTAAGGTAGCTCATGAAGCTTCCTCTTCTGCAGGCTAAACAAATGTATTTCCTGTAACCTCTCCTTGTACATCATGTGTTCCAGGCTCCTGACCATCCCTTGAATTCACTTCAGTTGGTCAATGTCTTTCTTGTACAGGGAAACCTGAGACTAGACATGATACTCTTAGCATGGTCTCATAAATCCTGAAGAGAGGGGAAGATCACTTCTCCCACCCTGATGGTTTGGTTACTAATACAACCTGGGATGACTTTGGCCTTCTTTGCTACAAGAGCATGCAGCTACCTCCTGTGCAGGTTGTTGCCAGGCCTTTCCCTGCAAAGCTGCATCCTTTTGTTTGTCCCTGAGCCTGTCCTGTTGCATGACTATATTCTGTTACAGGTGCATGACCCAGCATTTGTCTTCATTCAGCTTTAGAAGACACCTGTAGTCCATTTTTCCAGCCCACTGAAGTCCCTTTCAACAGCAGCCCTGCAGATTTGACAGGGTGAATTCATCCATTGTCCAGGTCATTATTAGTGATACTAAACTGTACTGGCCTTAGGATTGATCCCTGAGGGCTGTTACTAGTAACCAGTTGCCACTGATCACAGTCTTTGGAACCTGACCATCCAGCCGATATTCCACTCACATTATGATCCATTTATTCAGTTCTCAGTCTTTGGTCTTCAAGAATAAAGTGGGAGACAGTGTCACAGGCCCTGCTGAAGTCAAAGTATACAAGGTCCCCTGCTTTTCTTTCATTGGCCAAGCCAATTACTTCATCAGAAACAGCAATCAAGTTGTTCAAACACCATTTGCTCAGAACTTATGTTAGCAAATCCATGCTGGCTGTTCCAAACCAATTTCTAGTCTTCTGTTTGGAAATGGTTTCCAAGAGGAATTGTACCATAGCCCTCCCAGGGACTGAGGTAAGGCTGACCAGCCTGTAGTTCCCTGAAGCCTTCTTCAGAAGTTCCCTTTTCATCCACGCTGGCCTTCAGCAATTTCTGCTCAACTTTCTGCACGTTAGAATGGACTATTCTTGTGCTTTAAGGAGGTTAACTTTGAAGATTAATGAGCTCTCCTGATTTCCTATGTACTTCAGGACAGTCTTCCATAAGTTTATGACTCAAAGATCACTGAATGAGCCAAAAGATGCTTTCCTGAAGATCAGGGTTTGTAATTCTGCTTGTCTCACTCACTTCTCTGAGGATTTTAAACTTCACAATCACACGGTCACTGCAGCCAAAGCTGCCCTTTCGTTCACCTTTACATCCTCAACCAGTTGTTCCTTGCATGTGAGTAGCAGCAGTGCATCTCAGATCACCTACATTAAGAACACAGTTCAGGAATTTCCCAGAATGCTTTTCCCACTTCAGCAGATGCTGAGGTGATGGAATTACCCCAGGAGTATCAAGGTCTTTAGGCTATGATGACTCTTCCCTGTGATACTTAATTAAACCCCTCTCTACTAGGTCAACAAATCCAGAATAAATATCTTGCAGCTTTGTCTTTGGGAATATAGCATTTTGTAATATATTTTTTATATCAGATCAGCTGAACATTAATGAAAATATCTGAAAAAAATTTACTTTTTTTTTTTTTTTTGCTTAGCAGGAAAATGGAACTCAAGGCACTTTTTCCCAATTTAACCTTCCAGACTGTCTTCCTGAAAGTGATACCAGAGCCCAGACAAAAACATCAGAACTGGAAAACACCAGCATCACTGTCAAACTGCCTATGACAGCTTCAGGTAGAATATAAGAGAACATACTGAAAAGACTGGAGGGGTAGGCTGCCTGCAGGAGCGTATGCAGTCAGGATGATGCTCGGTGACCACAGGTCCCATGCCAAATGGTCACTGAAATATTTAAAAAACAATTTGGAGGACAGGAATGTGGATGGTTTTGGTGACTTCTAAAAATGCTACTTGGGGATGTACGTAATAGGAGAATGAATAGACTAGTACAAATATATCAATGAGAGAGGTATGCATCATACAAAACAATGTGTACTTGTCTAAGACTTATGACAGGTCATGTAGGTGACAGCCATGTTCTCTTGCAATGATAAAAGACTTTCCCCACTTGCTTGCAGCTGTGCAGCTTAGACTTGTCTAAGTGGACTAAACTGCATTTTGGGGAATTCTCAGACCTGGAAAGTTTCTGGCAGAGTTAATCTTTTTTTAGAAGGAGCTTAGGAAAAAAAAAAAAAAAGTAGTGGCATTTGGCTTTGAAAGGATTTAGCATCCCTGCATTAGTGGATGAAGATCTGCCACTGTTTAACAAAACACCCACATGCATGCCTAGAGAACATGTTGCTTTGTAATGCTACCATATGATTATTTATCTAGATTTAAATGATTTAAGTGGAGGTGTTAGGGTAGCTGAAATATTTCCATGCAGAAAGAATCAAGAGAACAGCAGACTCAGGCCCCATTTAATTCCTAACCTCATGCATCTGAATGTGACATTTTCTATCAGAAAATCAAGTCCTTAAAAGCTTTGGTTAACTAAAACTTACTTCCACTTTGTCATATTAATATATGACAATCAAAACAATAAAAGCATACTTTTTATGTAGTCCATGAAGCTTGCTGAAGCAGATAGGCAACAGATGGGATTTTTAAAAACATCAAGGTACATAACTTTGCTCAGAATCAGATCGTTGTTACTGAAGCTCTCTTAGAAGTTTTGCTGAGAGATGATGAATGCTTTGTTGACCATAATACTGTAAGTCAGAAAAAGAAGAAAAAAAAACCAAAACAAACCCATAAATTTGTGCAAAGTATCGATATTGTAGAATCATTGAAATGTTGGTTGGAAGGAGTCTCTAACAGTCAGCTACTTAGTCTTCTGCTTTACTGTAAAATGTTCCGCTGTAAAAGCAATTTGCCATCAGGTTTCTGACATTTTGTTGATCTTTTTGTTTTATATTCTTGTTTTTTGATTTAGAAGCCTTGAAATATTTTAGAAACCAGTTAACAGTGTATGAGCAAAAAGAAATTTTCAATTATACAGAGCTATGGTTTCTTGGGCTGGAAGCTAAAAAGATTGAAGGTTTGCCTGAAACCCAGAATAATAATTGTTATGATGATGAGCATGGTTCCTACTTAAAGGTAAGTTGAAAAATTATGGTATTTATTTTCAGCTCACTAAGTCTGTAGTGACTGTCTGCCAAATCTTCAGTGACCTATATGAAATAGATGTTGTTTCTAGAAGATAAGTATTCACATAGTGAAAACATTAATACCAATCACTTTAAAGCTCAGAACAGGAATCCTAAAGGGAGACTCACTTTGCATCTCATTCAGAGTCGATACAAGGTAGGTGGATTAATGAAGCATGCACTTGTTATTTTCTCTGTCACCCTTGTTTAATGTAGACTTTACTTCCTGCCAGTGCAGCATCATTCATAGACAGGAAACTCACAGGCACATGAATTACTTTAAAGCTTGATCTTTGTCATACTATTTGAATCCAAACTGTTTGTTTTCTTTTGAAGGTTTTACATGACCATATTGCATACAGATACGAAGTGCTGGAAGTCATTGGGAAAGGGTCATTTGGGCAGGTGGCTAAATGCTTGGATCATAAAACCAATGAATTAGTGGCACTGAAAATAATAAGGAATAAGAAAAGGTGAGACATCTGTTGACTTTAAACCAATACAATCAGATCTTTGTTATATAGGCAGTGACAACCTGGGCAAATGTGAGGAAAGCAAAATCAACCCTCCCTGTACATCAGGCTTTCATTAAATGCCTTGAGAACAGAGTGAGCTGAGGTGATGTTGGAGACTCAGAATTGGCCTGGACCAAGTGGAGATACAGTCTGTGACCAGCCCTGCATGACTGAGAGCCGAGAGCCTCCATTCCTCCCGTAGACTCCAGAACTGCAGGAATGTGCTGAGAGGCTCCAGTCACTCACTGTAATGTGAAAAATTCTACATTATGGTCTTAAGCAATCTCTTGTTGTTTTGTGCTTTGTTACAAATTTTTAGTTGAGTTTAGCTTGAATCGGAGTCAGTGAAGCAGTTGAGAATGATGCTGACACCAGCAACAGATTTAGCTGCTCAGTTTTCCCCCTCAGTGAACACTATAATGTAAAGACGCCCTTCAAAACTGACTGTCTTACTGCAGTAGGTGTGAAACGTGGTTCTGTTTGAGTAAACAAAAGCATTCCTGTGGACTTGGACAGCACTAGGATTTTACTCTGCATGCTCATTTGAAACTTTCTCATGAAAACATTTTTTCAGACATGTCAAAACAACCACTTTTAAGTGCTGTGTAACACCAGTATATTTAGACAAGGAAAAATCATAAAGAATGAATGTTACAGTAATTAACAGGGATGAATGGTAAATTCTTAATTGTTGTCCCATGTGGAGTTTACAGTTAGATTCTGATGTTTGTAAGAATTTGTATTTCTACAAATGCAAGGCTGAGTTAATGTTATCATTCCTATGTCATGTAATATTTCAGATTTCACAGCCAGGCTTTGGTAGAAGTGAAGATACTTGATGCTCTCCTGAAGAAGGACAAAGATGATACTCACAATATCATCCACATGAAGGAATACTTCTACTTTCGCAATCACTTCTGTATTTCCTTTGAACTGCTGGGGTAAAGTATATTTTCCTTTACAGAAACTTTAAGGAACATTCTACATCTTGTGCTTTACAAGGAGTTCTGGATAAATCTGAGAGAAATCAGATCATTCTATTCACCAGCTTCCTTGCAGCCAGTGCATCAAACTGGAATTGTGGAGGTTACCCACAGTTTCCCATCCTTTATAGTAAAGCCCCTGTTGATGGATGTGTTATACTCCTTGCTGAAGATACATCATTGTATGGAAGGCTTAATCTCAAAGAGACCTAAATTCACTGTGTTGCTGTTTGTGAGTCTGTCACTCACAGACACAGAGGGGTGAGAGTTGACTTCTTTTCTCCAGAAAGATACAGAACAATCTTTTCAGAAAGCTGCTGTGGAAACTCATAGGAAAGCATCCATGGCATAGACACTATGTTCAGCTCTTTACAGAAGAGCTGGAGATTGGTTGTCATATAAAAATACTTGTCTAGTGAAATTGGTATTGTTTCTAAAATATAGTGAAAACCTCTAAATTTGTGAACTATTTTCTCCATCAAGTCTTAATAACTTCATTGACTTCTGAAGGAATGAGCCCTGAATTCTGGTAAATCTAGAAAGATTTACTGCTGATTAGACTCTTTAGAGGATTTACACAAGATGTCAAAGCAAAGACAAATGAGAGTGAAAGGAGACTGAAGAAAATTTATTTCTCTCAGTTCTTAATTGATCATTGGTCTTTGTGAAAATCAGCACAGCTACATAACGTCACAGTGAGTTCAGCAACATGGTTGTTATGCCTTCTTTAGATCTGGAGCCTCAGGAACATGTTTGTGTATGTAACATGGAGAACAGCATTCTCAAGGAGGAAAATAGCTAAGTCATTTTCTTCTGCATAAGTCCTCCCTCATGTAGGAAGACAGGCTAAATACTCTCTTAATGGACTGTAAATGAATCAAAAAATAAGTTCCTTAATCTTTTTTCTGCTTTGTGTCTTCTTCTTCCATCCCCACAACCCCCACAGAATAAACTTGTATGAGTTGATCAAAAAGAACAATTTCCAAGGTTTCAGTTTGTCTTTAATTCGACACTTCACTCAGGGTGTGTTGAGATGTTTACAAGTGCTCTACCAGGAAAGAATCATTCACTGTGATCTGAAGCCTGTAAGTACAGTCATTTCATAACTTGTTGTCCTGTACAGAATACATTAGCTTCATCCTTTTTTTATTTGATCAAGAGGAATTCTCAGAAGAATCCTTAAAACCCAGTAGGATATTTGTACAGAAGCTATGGTGTATTTCAGACTGTGTTAGTACTAGAGTTGAGTGATTCTTTTTATTGATTCAATTCACTCACTGCAGTACTATACGAGATTATCTGGTTGCCAAAATGCATGCAAATATGAATCAAA